GTCACTTGGGCATATGAAGAATGTGAAAAAAATTCAAAGAGACTGTGGTTTGCACAAGGCTTGTTTAAGCTCGTTATTGAATCCATCTTCTTTCTGCTTTGCACAATGCCTTAAAAACAACTTGGTACAATGCATTAAAAAAGAAAAAAAACCACATGACGTCTTAAGTTATATGCACAAACAATCAAGGTTAAGGCTAATCAAACTTAGCATGTTGTGTGAATGCATCTCTTTGGAGTTTTTGCCTGATCTCGTTTGTTGCGAACAAACAAGGTTATATGGGAATAACCTGCCTCCTTTCCACATGTACAGCAGAGGAAGAAGAAGAGGAAAAGAAGATGAGTCGAAAATAATCATCTAAAACCAAATTTGTGTTGAAGCTCAGTCAGAAATCCAGTCCTTTGCGCTTAAGTCCCACTGGTTTAGATCTGCTCTGTAGCAGGAAAGGTGGAGCCTGGAGAGGGACTAAGAGAGGAATCGGCATGAAGTCCTTACATTCTCAAAGTGGTCCACATCCAGTCCCTCTTGAATTTCATTAACTCTCATCTAGATCCAGTTTAGTACAGACCATTCATTGATTAGATTCTTGGGTACAGGCATGACCAATAATTCAGCTTAAACGGCAGCATGGTCCTGACATAACAGGATAACAGAGTTGGGAGGGACCTTGGAGGTCTTCTAATCCAACCCCCTGCTCAGGCAGGAAGCCCTATACCCGTGATGGCGAACCCATGGCATGCGTGCCAGAGGTGGCATGCAGCACCCTCTCTGTGGACACGCGAGCCGTTGTCCCAGTTCAGCTCCGCCGCACATGCGTGCCCGCCTCCCAGCTGGTCTTCAGGTCTCTGTTGCACATGTGTGGGGGCGGGGCACATTGCTTTTTGGGGGTTTGGGCACCCTCGCATGCATTTGCACGCAAACACGCACACTTTGGGTACTCAGTCTGGAAAAGGTTAGCCATCACTGTCCTATACCATTTCAGACAAATGGTTGTCCAATCTCTTCTTACAAACTTCCAGTGTTTGAGCATTCACAACTTCTGGAGGCAAGTTGTTCCACTGGTTAATTGTTCTAAGTGTCAGGAAATTTCTCCTTAGTTCTAGGTTGCTTCTCTCCTTGATTAGTTTCCACCCATTGCTTCTTGTCCTGCCCTCAGGTGCTTTGGAGAATAGCTTGACTCCCTCTTCTTTGTGGCAGCCCCTGAGATATTGGAACACTGCTATTACGTCTCCGCCTAGCCCTTCTTTTCATTGAACTAGACATACCCAATTCCAACAACCATTCTTTATATGTTTTAGCCTCCAGTCCATACTTATAATGTTGGGTGGCTGGGATAATTCTCAGGGCCTCCACAGTGGTCAGAAGCTCACTCATCCGTTTCTGGAAACATAGTTCTTGAGCATCCTGAAAGCCTGTGCTCAAAATTAGAATTAAAGAGGTTTTCTCCTTCCTAGAGGTGCCCGTAGATTTAAAAGCCCCCAATCTAAAATCCTTAATAGCCATACCTATGTAGTAATGGGAGAGAGGGGCTATCTCTGGTTCCATTTGTGTTGTCACGGCTGCAGCTACAAGCAACCTAAGAAGACACTGAATGTGGGCCAAAGAGCTTAAAAGGCATGCTGTCAAAGAGATGCAAACTCTTTCTCTCTCCTTTTATCTTGCCACTTAGCTGAGCTTTATTCTGATCTCCACTGTCTTGACAATCCTTAGATTTACTGTCGCTCATGTTATATATATATATATATATAATGAAAGGAAGATTCCTTATTTTGAAGGCAAATGCAAATGGCAGCCAACCACCTGCTTTCTCCAGAGGATACTAAAAGCAAATACTACAAATGAGGGATTATGGATTACAATGAGGAGTAGAAACCCAGAAGGCAGGACTGGGCTCTTTTTTTAATGTATTTTTTTTTTCCTGAGCAATTGTAATTGGACAGGAGGAGACAAATACAGGAAGATAAGAAACCATCTTCAAAGTATTCATATCCAGAGTCATGAACTTGGCCCATCTTTTGCTCCTGTACCAGCAGGGTGTGATTTAAATCAACTCGATTTAAATCACAATTTAAATCATGATTTAAATCACTAGTAAAAAGGCTTGATTTAAATCAACTCGATTTAAATCATAATTTTTAAAGAGCAACTGTCATCTCTGCTACTCTTTTGACCCACTGTTGACTCACCGATAGTCCCAGTGTTGCAGAATATATAGCCTCATGCTACATAACTAAGCTCCATTTCATGCTGAATAAACTAAATTATTTATGTATCTTAAATAGAAAACTATCTTACGATAGATTTTTACCCCAAAAGTTTTTTATTAAAATAAATTCGATAAAAATCAAAAAAATCCGATTTAAATTTTAAAAATCTGATTTTTTTGATTTTTTAAAAAAAATCATTGATTTTTATCCACCCTGTGTACCAGCTATTTTATTTAATTTACCATTATACTTGGTGAATTCAAAATGACAGGAGGAACGGCTGTGATTGTGATCCAAGGCACTCAAATTCAATTTATCATCAGGGCTGTTTGTCCTGTTTCTGGCTTAACCTTCAAACAAGTACACAGTACACATTTTGGTAGTGCAGTGGATCCAGAAACCTTCACAAATTAAGGGTCTTCCAGATTGCTCAGGTTTTAAGTCTATGTACTCCCAACCATCAGAGCCACCAGGATTAATGGAAGGCAAGGTAAGAATATGGGTCTATTACTGAAAACTCCCACTGGACCACCAATCCAGCCACAAGGCCCAAAACGTTTTCTGGGTCCAAATCATTGTTTCTCAGCCTAATTATCTCTGCAAGGTTGGGATTCTGCAAGAAGATCAAAGGAGTAGAGGAAAACTATGTAGTCTGCCTTCAAGTTTTGAAAGAAACTCTAAATAAAGGAGAATATTTGTAGCTCAGGGTTGAAATGAGGGAATCCTCTGACCTTGGTCGTTTTCTTGCAGGCCCAAAGGTGTTTTTTTTTTTTAAAAGGCAACTGGATTTTCTTTGTTTTTCCTTGAAGACGTTTCACTTCTCATCCAAGAAGCTTCTTCAGCGGTTCTGAAGTAAAATATCTTCAAGGAAAACCAAAGAAAATCCAGTTGCCTTTTGAAAAACCACTTTTGGGACAACCATGACCTGGATGACTGAGAACCTCCACAGGCATTTACTTGCAGGTGTTTCATTACCCAAACTAGGTAACATCTACGTAGCTAACTAGGTAACACTAGCACGGATGATGTTATGAAGTTTGGGTAACGAAAGTCTGCAAGAAAACAGCCAAGCTCAGCAAAAATCTAACCGTTATTTGAGTGGTCTATAAACACTATACACAATAATCATAAATCTAATAATAAAACTTAAACAATCAACAAGTTTATAAAGAGAATAAGCAGAATGCCAATTTTTCTGAGAATTTAGAAACCTGACATTAGCATTTAGGAATACTTTTCTCTAATAATATGGTGTCTCTTAAGATTTTTTGTTTTTTACTATAGTTCCCATGATCCCTGATTCATGATCTTGTTCCTTAGAATTTATAATTGCACCCCAAAAATATCAGACAGAAACCACAATACCTATAGAGAAGGAAAAGGTGATGACCCTCAATTGGCTTTTGACCTTGCATCATCTGCCCAGTTTCTATCTAAAGACCCTCTCCCCTTTCTCTCTTTTTCTTGAGATAGATCATAATCTAGGGGAAGAAGGGAAATAATAACTCAGTACAATCTTCAGAAAGAGTTTTTGATTTTGATAAGACATCTTAAAAACGGAAGGTGAGGGTGGGGGGGAAAAGAGAACAATTCACCCTTTGAACATCTTTCAGTGCATCTCTCCCATCCCTCCAGCTCAAGCAGAGCCTTTGGGGAAATGCCACAGCCCCCCACGACCTAGTTCCGTCATGCCATTTGATCATCCACCTCCCCCACTGGCTCCAACCCACACATCTGAAAACAAAGCAGATGTGCCTACTGTGGCTGCCTGACCCCAACCTAGAAGGCAGGAAGCCCCAGGTCTGGAGATGATAAGAAAAACTCTGCCCCCCCTGCAGGAAACCCCAAACCCTGAGGGCTCCCCTAGTGATCGACACTGCTGAACTGGCATATCGGTGGAGACTTCCCTGGGTATCTCACTCTCTCTCCCTCCTATTGTTGTTCCCAAATAACCTCTCTTCTTAACCATATCTATCACTCGCGCACTCCCACCCAGGATTTCCGAAGCTACTTCTCAAGCTCTCTATCTCTTTCAGAAAGGGATTATTTTAAGGGAGCCACTTCGGGAACAACTGATGATTCCCCAAAACAGCATCAAAGAACCTCAACTAGGCTGTCTATTTATATGGACTACACTACCCCTTCTCCTCCCAGCTTTAGAAAGGCAGAAAGCACGTCCTTCACAAAGGTGGGATGTAGAACATGTCCAAATGGGAACACACAGGATCTGTTCAATGCCCCGCCATCCTTCTGAAGGGACTAGAGTACATGCATTAGGCTCACCAGCCAGCAGGTGGAGCTGTCTGGAGAGTGCTGTTAATGAGCTGGAATCTCCAGGTTTGGACCATATCCAAATGGCTCATCTACCCACAGCATCTCTCTTCTGCTCCTTGAGGAAGACTTTGAGACCAAAACTATCTACCAGTCTTGCTCCAACCAACTAATGCAATCCCTTCAGTCCCTGTCTATTTCTCAGGGATTCTTCACCACCGATCTCTCCGTTACAAAATATTGTCTCTTGATTTGGGAAGCCAGTCAAGATGGTCCCAGTAAATAAGAAAATATTGCTCCTCCTCCCAGATGCCCATTTAACCCAATCCCCAGCAACCATGCAATGAACTGGTGGCAAACCCTGGCACCCCCAAGGTTCCTTAGCCCCAACTTTTGAACACTCCTTATCAATAGCCCCCAGAAATCATCACCCCTCAACAACCAACTAGGAAGAGGCCAAGTTCATTTAAGTGGGCGTCTCCCAGCTTAAAATAGACCCTTTCTCTCAGCCTGTCGACTCACCACTTCAGAGTCTTCGAATCCATGGAGATAGGAGTCGTCATACATGGGGGAAGGAAATAATTGTTGAGGAAGCCGAGCCGAGAGGGAAGAAAGATAGCTCTTCCAGATGGACAGAGGTCTACAGCTGTGCCCCCTGCCCTTGTTGGGTTGGGGGCAGCAGGTGGCTGGCACACAGTGGCAAAGCAACTCAGCCTGCTATCGATCTGATTCCCCCACCCTGGATGCTCTCATTCTCAGCTGAGCAGCAACAGCAAAAACAATAGCGCCCACCCACCAGCCCTCCCTTGGGGGCAGGCACAGAGACAGGCAAGTAAGGAGGGAGGCGAGGCAGGCAGTGGCATCTGGACAGTGCAGCTCTATCCGCACCTCCTTAGAGCGACAGGGAAGATGTAGGCTTGGGGTGCCAGGGGGCATGAAGCAATGGGACACAACAAGGAAAGAGCTGGTCATGAAGAGGGTTCTTGGAAGTGTGGAACAATCCCACCGGATGGAAGGAGAACAAGAAGTGTAACCACACTTTCCAGCAAATGCATCCCTTGTTAGAATGCTTCCCAAGAGTTAAGTGGGTACCAGACAATTTACCACCGAGATGCAGGAAAGCATACTGAGACATCTAACCTGGGTGGGGACCTCTCATGGGGTTACCTGCCACAATAATGCAAGGAGGGCTGGGATGGGCATAGCAACACGGGGCAAACAAAGTCCATGGACAGGGAATCACAGAAGATAGTCCTTCTATTATACACCAATTTCCTTAGAATCAGCTTTTACCCAGTTACCAATAATCCTAATTTCCTGCACACTACATTCCTAGTCCTCATGCCAACACAGTCTTTTCTGTAACCTTTGACAATCTTGAGAGGCATTCTTGGACAGATGCCTCGATTCATACTTCACCAACCAACTTCTTCTCCCTCACTGCATTGGACAACTTCTATCATTCCCTAGAGGATGGGAGCTACAGTCCAATACTTCTGGACATCACCAGATCGTGGAAGACTACAACCCATTTTACTTTTGCAGAGCTCTTCAACTTTGCATGCCCAATTGCACATGCATGACCCAACCAAGATTTCCACCCTTACCTACATCTTGACCCTACCAACTCTGGGATAGATGATGCCTACCCACCTGCACTGGGCGGACAGAAACGAACACAGCTGGCAGGGGCAAAGAGGGGAGGGCAGGACTTTGCAGGAAATGGGCCAGATGGGGATTTTCCCCCTGCAATCCCCCAGGCGCTGGTTCCATCTGCCTCTTTGACTTCAGTGCCAGAGCTGCTGGCACAACCTAATCTCCGCCCCACGCCCATTTCCCATCCAAAGTTGGAGAGCTGTCCAATATATTTGGCGGAGGAGGGGTTAACACCAGCTTTTTGCAAAAAAAGGAGATCCGATCTCATCGTCTCTTCACACTGTTTTCTAACAGGAGTTTTCACCTTATTCCCGGCTGAGATGTTTAAAAAAAAAAAAAAAAAACCACACACACATCATCGGAATGCCGGGAAGGGGAACCATGACCGAAAGAGAGGGGGAGAGAAAAAACAAAACAAAAACCCAGTCCCTCTTTTCCTGCTCCCCGACGCCTCCTGCCCATAATTCCGCCAGGCAAGGGCTCCCGTTCTGCCAGGAGTTGCATTCAAGGCGGACGGGGAATCTGGGGGGAAGAGAGCTTAGGCAGGATCGGTCCTGGTGCTTAGCAGCAGCAGGAGAAAACGGAGCAGGGAGGCAGACAGGGAGGAGGAGGAAGAGGAGAAGGTAAGAGGGGTTGAGTACAGCGTGGTGATAGGCGATGGCAACGGCGGCGGCGGCGGCTGCGCGGTGCCTGTTAAGTTACCTCGTTGAGCAGGAAGGTAGCGCTGGAGTCAGAAAAAGACATAGACAGACGGGGAGGGAGCCGGCCGGCCGGCGAGGCCCGGAGTGCGGTGCCAGCTGGGAAGGAAGGAAGGAGGGAGGGAGGCGCCCCCCGCCCCCGCTGCTTTCCCCGCCGCGCCGCTCCCAAGCGCCTTCCTCGCCCTCGCCTTCTTCTCTCGCTCTCCAGGTCCAGCGCCGCGCGCGCCGCCGCCGCCGCCGCGCATCCCTCTCCGCCCCTTTTCGCTTCCCCCTCCTCCCGTTACGCGCCGCTCGGATAATGTGTGTGTGTGGGGGGGGGAAACGGGACGAGGACGGGGACGTGCCAAGCGCTAAATAATCACATTACTCCGGGGAGGGGGAGGGGCAGGGGGTGCGCCCAGCAGCCGAACCCATTGAGCTCACTTCGCGCGGCGACAGCCGGCCTCCTCGCGCTCCCGGCCCCGCGCCTTTTCCCGCCGTCTCCGCCCCCCACCCACTCCCACCCACCCCACTCTCCGTCTTCGCAGACGGCTCAGCCGGGACCGTCGGGAGAAGCTGCAGCTGCGGTTGGCCTTCTCTCGGATGCCCATCCAGCAGGGAGGGCGGCCCCCTTGCAAACCGGGAGATAAGATTGTGTCGGCTCACCCACCCATTCCCTCCCACCCAGCCCGCCACCCTCGCTCCCATCCCCGTCGCATTTTCTCAGGCTTTCGTGTTGGTCTGGGGTCCCCGGAGCTCAACCAACTCGGTGTAACCGATTTCCAGGGATCCAGAAAAATCTTAGGCGGGGAATCAAATAAAGTGCCAGTTACTGAAAGTTAAATGCAGAGGGTACGTCCACTGAATGACTGCTAAGCATCTCCACACGACAGGAAATGGGGGGAAAAGCCTCTCCTGTTAAGTCAGAGAAATGCATTTTCAGGTATTTGGACCTACCAGAGGGTTTCTCCCTCCTCCCCCCCTCCGGAAGTGATGATGTTTTCTTTTCTGAATCCCGCTTTGGCCCCGTAAAGTGATCCACTCGGAAATGTCCCTTATAATTCTCCCCCTTCCCTTCAGTATCCATTCCTTCAGCCTGTTTTTTGCCAGTCTCCCGCTCCCTTGGCTGGCCTGTCTCAGAAGCTGGTTTTGAAACCAGGTGGGATTTTTTGGCACTTGAACAGCTAGATTTGAGAAAGATGGACAAGAATAGGAGGCATCATACTCTCTTGAGAGAGCAGCAGATGTGATACAAATGAATCTATTGGAAAGCATAGCTATACAAGCAAAGTCTCTATATTGTTGGCTTTGGTGGTGGGGTGGGGGTGGGAGGGAGAGAGAGAGGGAGGGAGGGAGGGAGAGAAGCATTTAGTTTTGTCACTATCCTAGCACAATTTGATAGGAAAGAAGAGAGGGTGCAAAAGAACTGTTCTGACCTTCTGCCCTTTGGGTGTTTTGGGCTACAGCTGCCCCCATCTTATGTGGCAGTGGCTGGGAGTGAAGGGACAACACATCTGGAGGTGACACAAGCAGCAGGGAGGCTAGATGATCCAGCCTTGTAGGAGGACAACAATGCCAGGAGCTGGAGCATGAGTGGCAGACAAAGAATTTAGCAGTTTCAGCATTTTGTGCAGCTAAAGTGTTTGTGTTTGTGGGGAGCTCTTCCCTCAAATGACTTTATTCGACAAAGGGCATTGCAATACATAAAGCATTGGGTGTTGTCCTGGCAAACAAACTGAAAAGGCAGAGCATCTGCTTGGGGGTTCTCTGCTGCTGAAAAAAGCTGTGAGCCACAGTGGTAGCCAAGGCCATCTGCCTGCTTGAATCTGCCAATTACCTCGGGGCCCAGTTCACTCTGCCTCTCTTGAATTCGGTTCTCAGGGTTTTTGGTTTTGCAGTTTCACCACCCCAGCCCCAACCCAGGCTCTGGATTATTCCTTCCTTCCTTCCTTTTCATTTCCGATTCAACCCAAGAGACCATGGCACATTGCCTCGTTGAGCAGGAAGATGCTGGATGTGGAGAGATGCAGAAGTGGCTGCATCTTTGCTGGATGAAAGCAGCACAGATTGCTGTACCCCCCCACCTCCAACTTCCTCATGAATCCAACCTACTTTACAAGGCAGATGTGAAGCCCAGCTCACATCTTCTGCGACGGGGAGTGTGCAGTTTCCAAAAATCAGGGCCACTAGCAAACTGTGTACCTGGCTGCCAGGAAGAATGTGGCCAGCTGCAAACACCTATTTAACTAGAAGACAAACAGGCAGGATTTTTTTACCCCAGCAAACCCTTTCTAATTCTCAGGGATGCTTTCTACTACTGCTCTTTGTGATACCATGCAGAAATATCTCGTTAGCCGATAGGCTCTTATAGGGCCCCATGTGTCATCGGAAAGTCAGCTGTGCATCCTCTTTTAGCACCCAGCACTACAGATTTATCCACGCTATTCACTGACAATTCTGAGACTATAAGAAAGCTGGAAGAAAGACTCTTCAGGATTATGGTTTCCGGAAGGAATAGTTTCCCCGAAGAGTGGTGTTTGTTCTCTCTGCAGCTTGTTTCCTGGATCTTTAGGCTGACCAGAGTGGCTGTTGGGAAGGATGACGCAGTGGAGCAATTGGTCTTCAGAGAAGGACTGAAATTAAACCCAAGAAGAGATGAAATCTTTTGAGAGGATCTCTTTGATTTTGAAAATTGCTATTTTTACCAGCAAGTACTGAAATGGCAAACCTATCAGGCCAGCAATCAAGATCTTTTGAACCATATCTGCTTTCCTTAGTTTGCTGGAATATATCTTCTCTTCATCCTGTCCTCAATGGGCAAACCAGGAAATAGTCACCTTCAGTGTGATAATATTCAGTCACCAAGAATCAAGTAACACATGGAGGGAGGGGCAGCATAAAATAGAGAGGTCAAGAGCATCTCTAAGAGTTAGAAAGGGGTTGCTGGAAGTAATCCTGCCTGCTTGTCTTCCAGTATATTAATGTTTCAGCCGGCCACATTCTTCCTGGCAGCCATTGCATGAATACAAAATTCAGTAGGGCAAATTTTTTAATGAGAGAAACCAGCAGGAAAATCTGAAAGGTGAGGTGGTGGATTCAACCACACAGTCTATTGGACACATGGTGTTAACTTCTTTTTTTTTTTACTCTTGCCCCAGATGCTCTAGGCATCCACAATATTTCAGAATTCCAGATGTGTCCACCAGACTGTGAGACCTCTGCCACAGACAGCAGCGTCCACGCAGCAAATCTGGCTGACCTTCTGTGACTTGACTTGAATCTCAAGCAGCAAAACATTTTTGGCCAGCTGATGGTATGTGTAATCTACCTGGGATTATTGGGTTCTCCCAAATGTGCGGTGCCTATCCCCAATCTTGCATCCCCAATCTTAGGATCACATATCTATGT